ACCTTCAGTAGCAAATCTGTACCTGGACTTATGCATGTACAGAAAGACTGTAACCCAGAGACCATTCCCTTGCAGTAGCTACCAAAAACAGCCTATTGGGAGAAAGCACCAAACGGCAAGAAATTCCCTCCCACTCCCCAGGTGAAGCGAGATAAGGCGTACTAGCATGCCTCCTGTTCCAATACCTTCCTTTTTCAGAGCCCTACCTTAGACCTTAGCACGTTGGGCTACCCACATTTGCCATCCTTGCCTATCAACTGCCGTTCTCTCCAAATCTTCCCATCTTACCCATTAGCCAGGGATGGGTTGTCCCTAGCCTCTGTTTGTTAGAGGGTGGTGATGGATAGCAGGAGAGAGATCACTTGATCATTACCTGTTAGGTTCACTCCCTCTGGGGCACCTGGCATTGGCCACTATTGGTAGACAGAGCACTGGGCTGGATGGACCTTTGGTCTGACCCAGTACGGCCGTTCTTGTGTTGTTATGTTCTTATGTTCATGTTGAAGTGCTTGATACGGTTCAGAACTGATTGTTTCCATGTTATTTGCGGTCTTCCCCTCTTTCTTCTTGCGTTTTCTGGCTTCCATTCAAGGGCCGTATTTGGTAAGTGTTCTTTTTCCATTCTCAGCACATGTCCTAGCTACTGATGTCGTCTTTTGTAGATTATTTGTGAGTGGGTGCCTTGACCAGTAATTTTTCTGGCCCAGACTAATCGCTTCTCAAAGCTAGAATTACAGCACTCAGGCAGATTGTCCCCTGGCCCGGGTTCCATGAGTGGAGCAGGGCCAGAAACGCAGAGTGGGAGAGGATGCAGACTTTGCTCCCTGGGCTCCAATTCCCATGCAGAAGCTCGTTGGCACAGAAGACGTTAATGGAGCCCTGACGGTCCACAACTAGGGTGTGGTGAGGGAGGGCAGTGGGGTTTGTTAAACCTCGGGGGTGTGGGAGGGCTAGGGGGATTGAGTGGGTGATGAGAGGAGCAGTGCAGCTGGCTAGGCGGGAAGGGGATCGTGTGAGGGAGGATAGGAACTGAGAGCTACTGCTAATGCTGCGGAGGCAGACAGTGATCCAGGTCGAGTGGTGCTGTGATGTAAGGGACCTGCAGTCAAGAGCAGGGAGAAGCTGGACCAACGGTGGGGGTTACTGCAGCTTGGAGGGGAGGCAGGCCTGTTGTGATGCTGCTAAGCAGGCAGCAGGAGGGGTTTGCGTCTAGACGAGCAAAGTGCTGAGATAGTGCAGACAGGCAGGGCCTTGGCATGTGGAGGAGTAGCTGAAACAAATGAGGAGCTACAGTGAGTTACTCTGTTTTTTGCCAGTCATGTTCAGCAGCTGCAGTGATGCGCTGCAGGCTGAGCTTTTATCACAGCTCCCTCCCTCCTGCCCCACCCCACCTTCGCACAGCCCTGCTCCCAGTGCCCCGGAACAGACAATCCCCCAGCAGGAGCAGGCTGCCTAGCGAGCAGGAGAGAGCTGCATGTGCTGCGTAGCGCCTGTCTGCACCGTGGTGTGCTACTCTTCAGCAGAGGGTTGCGGCTGAGGTGGGCAGTGGGGACTCACCCAGCGTTTGTAAGAGAGCTTGTTCTAACAGATATGTGTGAGAGTCTCACAAAGCGCGGCCTGAGCAACAATTTCGAATGAATGTGGACATGTCACGCGGATTGAAAACCTGGTGGAAGGGCTGAAAATAAATGGCCAGGCCAAGCGCACTGAATTAGAGCTTGACGTACAGTGGGGCCCTAGTGGTTTTCAGCTTGAGGTGTGGTGGTAAAGGAAAAACAACGGGCTCTTGGGCTACAGGGGTGTCACAATATGAGCAAAGGAGGTGATCGTCCCTTTCTACACCCTCCATAGAACTAGACATTATTTATCAATTAACGACATGGCACTTGGGAGCCTGCCCCTACCACATTCACATCTGGTCATCTCCGCACCAGAGAGATGTCAACAGAGAGGAGAAAACTGAGAGAAGAACAACGGAAACGATGAATAGGGTAGAGGGAAAGATTCAGAGAACTAAACATATGTAGTTTTCCTCGAAGGCAGCTCCATGTGGGGGAATACGGTAAGGGGTTACATGGATTTGGAGGGATCCAGGTGTGCAAAAGGGTCATAGTTATGGGTAATAAGAAAGCAAGATTTGGAAAAAAGTTAGGCCGAATAAAAAAAAAATCCAGTGATGAGATGCATTAGAAGACATGTATAAGATACTCAAACGTCATGGTCCTCATCTGTAGAATGAGGATAATACTCCCTATCTTACAGTGGCAATGTAAAGTGTGTGATTCATTGCCATTTGGGAAGTATTTTGCTATACTTGCCAAAAGATGCAGTATTGATGCAACGTATTATCAGCTAGTTAATGCAAAGGTAAAAAGCTAAGCAACTCTATGTGATCAAAGGCAATCATTCTGACAAAGGTTTCTGATCACATCATAAACCTTAAGACCAGATCCCACAATGGAATTACAGCCTTAGATTGTTGATTATATTTTTATAAAGAATGTTGCTATCAGCTGTGGGGTTTTTTTTTAATGTAACCATGGGTCTCTCCCCAGACTCTCACGTATTGTTCTGCCAGGTACTATTGTATAGTTCAGTGGTTCTCAACCCACGCACTTGCAGCCCAATCAGCACAGAGCTGCGGCCCATGTGTCATCCTCAGGGCCACACAGGTAGAATATATATTGTGTGGATGCCACCCACATAACACAGAGAGAGCTGCATATGGAGCCTGCAATGGTAAATAGGTTGAGAACCACTGCTATAGTTGGTCAAACAAAGATACTCTGCATGGATGTGTTTCTGGAAGGTGCTGAGTACCTTGGACTCCCATTGTCTACTGCTGTAACATTTTGGCATTGTCTAGCTTATGAGAGCTTGATTTCTGAGCCTTAATGCTCAATTTGTTTTCATTTAAGAGGAAGTATTTGATAAACATAACTGAGTGCAGACCCCTATTGGTTTAATTTAATATACTGGGACAAAGTCATTCCTGGTATAATTCCTTTGACACCAGTTGATTTTCACCAGGTATAAATGTGTCCCAGTGGCACCAAAGAAACTGCTGGTGGTGTTCAATCTCGATAAACAGCAGATCACCCATGGAACTACCTCAGTGTCAATAAACCTAGTTTATACAAAGATTAGTTACCCTTACCCTGAGGTCTTGGTGGGAGTTAGTTATTTTTAACTACCATGAATAAATAAAAAGGAAACTAGTCACTAAGTAACATTCAAAACAAGAAGCAAAGCCAGGACAATTCAGAGGGACTGATTCTTTGTTTCCTTGCACCTTGTACCATCGTTCGTACCAGTGTAAAATGGGTGTAAAACGCTGCCAAGTCACTGCTGGAAATGATGGCACAAGGCGGGGGTGGGGGGCTGATAATCAAAGCCCCTTTTCTCATTGTATATGTTAATATTATGCCACATAAAGGGCTTGATTCTGATCTCCATTACACCATTATAACTCTATTGACTTCAGTGAAGCTGCTCCTTGATTTATGCTAATTTAAGTGAGGCACGAATAAGCACCATAGGACGTAATAAATCTTTGCAATACAGAGAAACAATGGGCCAAGTTAAGAACAGAGCAGAAGCTTTTTTAATGCTGGATTTCCTTGATCTTTGTCAATTTCAAGCAGAACCTAAACATTGTATTTTCTGTATCAGTTACAAACTAGCTCTTGAGAGATTGATTTTCTTTTAAGAATGTTAAATTCATTTCCAAAACAGAATTTAAAAAGCTGATGCAATCCCCGTCTCCATAATAATTTACAGGCAAATTTGTCAAAGATTTAAATGATTTTTTTTTAAATATTCGTTTCCCTAAGATGCATCACCTTATTGTTAGAGAGTTAAACTTATTAGAGTGATTGGGAAGGAATGCTATCTCTACGCGTCAGGCAGGAAGAAACTGCAGTAGAAAAGCCTACTTCCCTTGGGAGAGATCAGATATCAGACTTGCTGAGCATCGGGTCCAACCCATAAGCCTACCATCTACACCCCCATCTCAGCTTTGTTAGATTGCTGTAATCGATTACCATCTTCTTCTGACCAAACAGTGGAAGGAAGAGAGACACAGAGAGAGAGCGCGCATAACTGCTGCCTGCCTGCCTCCCTTTGATTTGATGGCCTTTATTCCTTCTAATTGGATAAAATAGGAAGTCACTAGCAGTCCTGTGTTGCTGGGTGTACTGATTTCACTCAAAGCAGTCCTGCAGAGGGGCGGGGGTGGGGAGAGAAAGGGGAGAGGGAAACAGACTGTGAGGGAGGAGAGGGGGAAAAAAGAGGAGGAAAGTGAGCGAGTGCTCAAGAAGGACAAAGAGGAGGGGGTGGGGGGAAGAAGGGAGTTACCACCCTCCTGGCATTGCTCTGTGTAATGATATTGTTTGCAGTGATGCTCACAGAGCAGGCACCTGCTGCTCTGTAATGATTCAGCCTCTTTCAGCCGTCGCTTTAACACAACAGGATGCTGTTGCTACTGTCACTGTTACCTCTGCCGCTGCTGCCGCCGTTGCTGCTGTTCCTGATTTTGCTTTTGCTTCTGCTGCATGACAATTGTTTTCTTCATCTAAGCAGACACCAGCCTCAGATGCTCAAGGTGAGGAGCCAGCCTTTCGCTCTGGGCTATTGGTTCACTTAATCCAACAATTTGTGCTTTGTTTGGTGCGGTTCTCCCACCTTGCACCACCCCCAACACTCCCCTCGGACGAGCTGGGATGGCTTGAGAGGCATTGAAGGAATTATAAAAGTGGCCAGGAAATGGGAGCTAAATAATTACTAAGCAACTCTATTTCTTGTTTAATAGGAGAGGGGTTTTTTATTGTTATCCTCTCCCAGTTCAGATGATGTTCTTGAACTTGGACTCTCTACTGACTCCCACTGTATGATTTTTTTCCAGAGTTGGGTGATTTGATTTTTGCCCGTCTCATAATAATGGACTGTGATAGAGTTAAGGCCTTTTGGAGGTGAGCTGGTTGAGATTTTTATGCTTAAATATGTCTGAAGTATCTGCAGAGGCTTTTCCCCACTCCTCGACTCAGCTGAACCCTGCTGCATCTCTCGAAGGGCTCCCAGCTGAGGACAACATGTCAGGGATGCAAACAGAGGACGGGAGGGTCCAGGGGATAGCAGGCCTTGCCGCTACTTGCTGCGTGTGCCTGGAGGCAGAGCGATTGAGGGGCTGCCTCAACTCTGAAAAGATCTGCATCGTCCCTATCCTGGCTTGCCTGCTCAGCCTGTGCCTCTGCATTGCTGGCCTCAAGTGGGTGTTTGTAGACAAAATTTTTGAGTATGATTCTCCTACCCACCTAGACCCTGGGAGGATAGGGCAAGACCCAGTGATTTCAGTGGAACCTACTGCTCTGTCGCCTTCAGTGGTGCATACCTCACCTTTCCCAGTACCGAGCCCTGAAACCAAGGTTGAAGTTACAGTGCAAGCTGATAGTTCGCTAGTGCCCTCCGAGCCTTTCCTCTTGCCTTCTCCGCATAACCGTGTCTTAGATTTTTCATTGTCGTCCTCCACCGCACCTTCCTTCCCTCCGCCCACGCTGGAGCCTGAGGTGAGAGAGGCTACCACCCTGTCTCAGGCACAAACAACAGAAACTAATCTCCAAATCGCTCCAAAACTTTGTAAGTAGCAGCTAATTTTTTCTTCCACAAAGGACTTTGATTGTTCTGTATCTTTTCCTTGAATCTGACATTGCATGTTAAGTTTGAATAAACTGAGAGAGGTACAGGGGTGGATCACAAGCTCTCTGAAACTGTTGCTAAATAGACATGGTGGTTGTACCAGAAAGGATATTTTTTAAAGACATATATCCTGACCAGTTATCAAGAGGCAAGTCTTCACAAGTTATTTCATTGCATACATTATACAAAAGGATGAATCACTTTATTTACATTTTGATTGGTATCTTTTTCTTGTAATTTAGCCTGCCATTTCAGTGATCAATTTGATTTGCATATTGCTTTGAGTCCCCTATATTTGTTAATATCATTGTCCTGTCTCTAAAGCACTTCTATTTCCTCTTTCTTGTCTTGCATTGCTGATAAATGTCCCTGCCATCTTCCTGAAGCAGTCAGTGAGTGCAGTGAGACAGGGCTACAGTACATTTGTAGCAACTCTAGCCATTCCAGAGTTGTTAATGTAGCAATTACAATTATGGCTATTTTTTCATTCAGGGCTCATTACAGTTTTTTTTTCTTCCTCCTCAAGGGTTTGACGCTGCAAACCATACTCATGAGTGTTGTCTCATTGATTTAGCTAGAATGACTTGGTTAAGGAGCTCATACATGTAGAATGGGGCCCTGAATTAGCCTTTTACAAATCAAGCTTCTGGAGAAATTTCTCTGTGCTCATTGTAAAACATCTAAGTAATTTCTTGCTGGACTAGGATGTATTGGATGTTTCATTGTAACCTGTCAGATGGGAGCAGGTTAGGCCAGACGGCCTGTGATCTCTGTAACTCTTGTAACTGTGCTAGAGCCCAGGCCGGGTATCCACAATTGAGGTCTCCAGTGGTTAAAACTGGCAACAAACTTTGTAAGCTTGCTTAGGAGAACCTCTAGTCTCCTTCCTTTGTGCCCTTCCTAAACCACTGCAGGCTGATGCCTTGGTGATTCGTATGTACTTGGCCTCATCCTGTTTCTGTTGAAATCAATGAGAGTTTTGCCACTGAGTCCAGCTTTGAAGCATGCTCAGACTCAATGTCTGCATCAGGAGCACCGTTTACTCTTCCAGTAGTCATCTTGGGTTAGTTATGTTTTATATTAGACTATATCATGAGCCAGATCCTCAGCTGGTGTACGTAGGTGTACCTCCATTGACTTGACTCATGGCCCAGTTAGTATAACGTCAAATGAAGTTCCAACAATATTGAAAGGAAAATTTAAAGATAAAAATGTATAACCCTGTGTAGCCTTTTGCTTCAGTAATGCATTCATCATGGCCTGCTGTTAGATGGAGAGTACATTTTCTGAGAATAAGAGCCTGATAAGAAAACACGGGTGTGCAGTCAAACAAAAGCTTTATTTGTCTAGTTGGGCGACTATGGATTAAGTTATTGGGACCAGCTTTTGCAACAGTGACAAAGGGTTTTTTTCCTCCCAGAAGTCATTAGCACAGCAACTCCTTTTTGTAGCCATATCATTTACAAATCTCATAAGTATCATTAAAGGTGTGACAGATGTCACTGCAGTCACCACCTCTTTGCACCTGGCAAAGTGACCTGAGAACGCCATCCCGCTGCAGTGGCTTGCGGGTGGGGATGGGGGTGGGAGGAATCAAAAGCAGCTTCTGAAAAACAGCAACATACCACCCTGCCAAATTCAACCTGGAAGAGCTGGTTGGCCCTCACTGGATCACTCAGAGTCTGAAGTAAATGAAAAAAGACTAGCTGGTGAGCAGCCATTGGCAACAAGCCATTCTCTGCATTCAGATCCACTCACAGCTGGGAAATAAATGGCTGTCCGGGAATTAATTTTTTTAGATAAATATCTACTAAGTGTGTTAAGGGATCTGACTTCCACATAGATCTTGATAGAAAGGCAAGAGGGGGTTGGCAATTGATTTTGTTTGGTTTGCACTGAGTGGGAAAGATTTACTGCTGCCTAAAAGCGTAAGTGTAGCAAGTTCTGAAGCTTCAAGCAGCTGCAGTTCCTTGAATCCCTGTGGAAATAAGGGTGGGAAGGCAGGTTGCACAATATCTGCCACAGAGCTGAAAGAGGCCTGAGGTTTTTTAAACTGCATTTCGAACATAGTCTGTTATGCCCAGCAAAAGTTAGAGGGATAAACAAGAAACGGCACTGAAACTTTATTCTTTATGAACAGTTGTGTCAAGTATAAAATTCTGGGACTGGTGTCTCAGGAAGTAACGTCTGTAAATTGGATTGGCCTTATGGCATCTCACCCTCTCTCCTTTTTCCGGCATGACTAGGTTATTTATTCAGAAAAAGCATGTGAGCTTTCCCTTTGCATTGATGATTTTTCATCCAGGACTAAGTAAGAGCTTAGTGGCTCCTATTCTGTGACTGACGTATCATTTCTGAACCAGACCCTTCAGGGCACTTTAGAATCCTTTTCTCCTCTTCCCTTTTCTATCTAACTCAGCACATTCTGTTTAGAGCTATACCCTTCAAGGGCAGAGTCTGTGGAGGGCTAATTGCTTCTTTATCCTGGAATCTGGGAGAGAGCAGGAGAGAGACAATCCTAGTAATTGTGTCAGCTGTGTTAGTCCCAAGCCCAGTCTACCTTGTGTTGTTATACGTTGTGTTCTCCCAGTACAGAAATTGGGCCTTTCCTCCCTTTGTGGCTTCCCATTTTAAATGGTCATTTTTCCTTTGCTGATACAGAAAACAGAAGCAAACATTTTTAAGTGTCCACGTGTATGAGGCATGTCAGTTTCAGCTAAATTCTATGTGTGAATGTTTCATTTAGGTGCGGTCTATATAGTATTATGTCTAAGAGGTGTAGATCTTATGACTAGGAATACAGTGCAGGAACTAAATTATATTTTTTCTCTTTAAGTGCAATCCTGCAGCAACGCATCACGTACTCTAATGATTATGTTTCCATAGTCCTCTAATGGGTATGTTTTCATAATAATTGTTTTGTTTATAGCTGCATAATACCTAAACTATTCCTCCCTCCTGATAGATCTTTAAGCTGCTTTCGCTTTCCATTTAAATGGATTGTGCCCAAACCAATTAAGTTCTTAAACCTATTCATGTGAGCAAAATTGATAATTTGCAAGTGAAGGTAGAGGATAAATTGTAGCTAGAAAGCTGTGGTGCTAGTCTTAAGATCTCAGTAACATTCGAGTTAGAGCCCTGGGTTTATAGCTTCTCAGGACAGCCACAGAGTCTGATTCATCACTTCCTTACACCTTGGCCTGAGTTTTTGTAGCCCTGCATTTTGCATAGTCAATTGCCTCAATGCAAAGTAACCATAAAACACTCAGATTCTGACTTTGCACTAGTGAAAAGGACAGTATTAGGTGCAAGGCAACAGCGAAATGGGCCCCATCGCTCTGATTTGGTGGTATTTAACACTCCCTTTGCACGGGTGTAATTGACTGTGCAAAGTGGGTCAAATTCTGCTCTCAGGTTGCATCACTTTAAATCAGAAGTAAATCCATTTTGCTGGAGCAGCTTAGATTAATATATCAGCAGAGCTGAGCACATCATTTGGTGCAAGATCTGGAACCTGCCGGCAGGCATCTTGCATGGCACTGCAGAGCTGTTTGAGCTCATCCCAGGCAGGCCCAGCCGACACGGCGCCTTTGTCTTTTTATCTTTTCATTTTTGTTTTCCTCCATCAGCTCAGGTGATTTAGTCTCTTCTGACATTTCTGCCACTTGAGATGCCTGGTTTGACATTTCTGGATGAAGTGCTGCCTCACTGTGACTAAAAACCTGGGCTCTTCATGGCAGAATGGCTCTTCCTTGTGTCTCCACTCTTACACACACTGAGCTGGCATAGCCAAGTGGTCAGCCTATGGAACTAAGTCTCATGAATTCTAATGCTAGCTCTGCCAGTGGCTATCACTGGAAGCAAATGACCCCTCGCTTCCTCAGTTTCTCCATTTGTAAAATGAGGATGATAATATGTCCCTATCTCCCAGGGATTAGCTGTCGCTTGCACTGTGCATTAAAGATGGAAAGCTGTACATATTGTTGTTACTGGTCTGCCCTTGGCTTTGACAGCTCTTCTGATTTTCATTTCTCTGATTTCTGCCTCAGATTTTACTTGTCTCCCCTTTTTCTTCCTTTGCTCAGGAGAAGTGTCAGCAAAATGATTATTTTCAGTGTTCAGGCCATTAAAAAGCCATTCGGACTTGAGAACAGGACCATTTACCTCAAAAACAATCCTCTTTCCACTCAAAATAATTGATGCACCATGGCATAATTTCTGATCTAAATAGGACTATTTTAGCGTTTGGGAAAAAATGAAGGGAAAACTTGACTTTTAAGTGGCTTTACATCACATTGTCGATATTTTCCACATTTGTGCTCCTTACTCTGGGTTCTGTGCCCTTAACTCTTCTGTTTTTGCTGCCTCCTTCACCTCTTCTCGTTTTCCTTATTGGCTCTTATACCTCTGCATTTGAGTTGTCTTCTTCACCTGCTCTCTACTCGCCATCTCAACCCCCCTTTCTCCCCTCCCCCCACCTCTTGCTTCCCTTATGCAATGGTTTTCACCGTGCAGGGATTATGTAATCTCACAGGCCTGGGTGTGCTATTCCTTTCTCTTTCTCGGCTAGTGCAAGTTGGGGGATGCTTTTGGGGGTCTGTCTACATTGCAGTTGGACACCTGCAGCTGAATCGGGCTCGCAGAGTTTGGACGAAGGGGCTATTTAATTGCAGTGTAGACCTTCAGGCTTGGGCTGCAGCCCCAGCTCTGGGACCCTCGCACCTTGCAGGGCCCTAGAGCCAGGGCTCCAGCCCGAGCCCGAACATCTACACTGCAGTTAAACAGCCCCTTAGCCCAATCCCCATGGGCCTGAGACAGCTGGCATGGGCCAGTCCTGGGTTTTGCAGTGCAGACATACCCTCAGAGGTCGTGCACAGAGCTGTGTTCAGTAAGAGGGGCAGAAAGGCAGAGCTGATAAACAGCCTAGGGGTTTATTTCCT